GTGCGTACAGTCTGCACGTTTCGACACGGCGACCCGTAGACTCTAAGGTCAGTTTTGGTGCGGATTCGGCGAGATCGTCGATGTTGGAGGAGGGTAGTGGAGGAGATGATTGATCTATTGAGAGCTTGGTGGTTGTTTTGTTAGAGGGGGATGATGGCTTGGGCTGATGGTCCTCCGGTGTGCCCGGTGAAGTTGCGTTACCAGCTGACTTGTCGGCGATTGTCGCCGCAGTGCTTGATGACGTTGAGAACGTTGGATGTTTTGGTCCCTGGTCCAGTGCTTTTCTGTACTTGGTCACAAGCGCAAGTGTGCGCTCAAACATCTGTGGTCCAGAGTATCCGCCTTGCTCTAGCAGAAGTTTGGCCTCAGACGCTGGCAGTGCGTATCCTCTGGGCAAAGGGTCTGGTCGCTTCTTCGTTGTGTTACCGACGATGACGCCGTCTACGCCCGAGTCCCAAACGGCTTCGCAGATACCAGAGATTTGTTCCTCTGAATCTTCGTCTGGGCTGACTTTGACCATGATGGCGGGTTTGGTCTTGCGGTCGATGTTCTTGACGGCTTGGACGACGCCTGAGAGCAGCCGTGTCAATGGCTCCACGTTCTGTAATGTTCGCAGGCCGGGTGTGTTGGGAGACGAGACATTTACTACCAGGATGTCGGCGTACTTTCCAACATGTCCTACAGTGGTCGCATAGTCACGAACGACTGCCTCAATGTCGTTTTCCGACGTGGTCTTGTTCTTGGCAACTTGGACTGCCAGCAGTCGTCCTGGCAGCAATGAGCCGGGTGGAACACCAGCTTCTCCATCGAGGACCGCCCGCTCAGCCTCTTCATCCATGCCCAATCCCTTGTGATAAGCAAACTCGCGAACGCGCTGACGAAGTCGGGTAGCTACGTGTTCGGCACCCTCTGAGTTGAACCCATAGCGGTTGATGAGCGCGTTCTGGCTCGGGAGCCTGAATACACGTGGCTTGGGATTGCCCTCCTGTGGCAACAATGTAATGGCGCCAACCTCAACAACCGCCGCACCCAGCTCGAACAAGGGCGTGGGGATCTCAGCGCCCTTGTCGATACCCGCCGATGTGCCAATTGGGTTACTCAATGTGTGTCCAAAGACTGGTACAGTCAGATCGCCTTGTGAATCAGCTATACCACGCTCCCTGGGGTTTAGCCCAAAATTATGGAGAGCCTTGAGTATTCGTGTTCCCGCTTGATGCGCCTCTTCGCCATCGGGATATATTTGTCGTAGGGCCGGTACGACAAGCCATTCGTGAATGCTTGCGCGTGTGTCGGTGACGTAGAGGTAGCCAAAGGAGAGACCGACAGTCAGAATGGTACCGTATACCAGGTTTCTGGCACGTGTGCCTCCCGATCGAACATTCGTCGCTGTCACGGTAGCAGCGGCGGCTTCCGTTGCATTGGTCGCGTGTCTTGTGGGGTGTTGAAACAGGTGTTGTGCGGGGCGGCAACGTGGTATCACGGGGCGCATGCGCAGGTTCCGCATACCTGCAGTGTTTTTCATGGCAATAAGTATGGCGGACAGCACATAAGGCCGTCGATGGCTGTGCAATTGCTGTTGGGATTCTAAGCTGTACCTCGAGAGGTTGGTGATGCGGAACAGCCTCGGGTTGACGTTCATGCGGACTGGTTATGTCAGCAAAACGCCATAACTTACTACTTTCCCCTCTTCACTTGAATATGATCAATAATTCACTGCACAACCGGGAATCCTGTTGTTACATTACTACTATTGAATGATACGACTATTCCAAGTAGAGCGACACTAGAATTTCGAAACGTCCAATCCGTTAATCTCAAATAAAAAATTGTAAAGTTATCAATGCTCGCTTCTTCGCTTGCTTGCTGCTCTTAAGCGTCGTGATGAAACCCTATTCTGCTCCGACAAATGCTCAATCACCAAACTTTTCCCAAACCTACACAGTCTGATATGCACAAAACTCAGGAAGAAGAAAGATGTGCCCACCTCGCATCCACATCAACCTCACCTTCCTCACTGTTTTCCTCCGTCAGCAAACATCCCATCACCCAACCCCATCGCCAGCCACTACCACCCCACCACCACCACCACCACCACCACAACAACAACAACAGGACCTGCCATGACGTCTTTTGAAACCAAAGACACCTACCAATCATAAACCCACCCACTGTTCTGTTCCATGAACTCTGTACACGCCTCTTTCAACGCGATATTCGGCCTCAGGTCGCCGATTGTCAGCGTCTCCCTCGTCAAGGGATCAGTTGGACTGCGCTTCAAATGCTCAATCAGTGTTGCGCGCTCGTAGGAACGGCCATTTTTGGTTACAACCGGATCGTGCATGATTTCAAACGTGATTCCGTCGACCAGATAATCAGGCACTTCGCGTTTTTGCTGGTTTTCTGGGTCTGAAATGGCAAATGCAGTGCGTAGATCATCTCGTTTCTTCTCAAAATCACTTTTGCGCTCTGCTTTCTCTTCTTGGCCAGCTACGCGTGTGACTTCGTTAGCTTCGATGCGCGCATCGATGTCATCCATGTCTTTCTTGTACTGGGTCTCGAGCATGGCTTCCAGATCTGCGAGCAAGCCTCCACGCCGCCGTACGCGTTCGCGTTCGCGAATATCCCACTTTGCTTTTTTGCAACGCAGGACAAGAGCAGATATCGTGGCCGCGTTTGAGGTTTGCTGCGTGGAATTTGTGCAGAGTTGGTAGGCCATGAGGGCACTGGAGAGGGCTTCGTTGGGGTGATTGATTGCGAGTTGAGCTTGTGCTGTCGTCATCTTAGCGTTGCATTCATTTTGGGAAGAGAGTAATATCGCAATCGACGGACATGTTTCATCTATGTCGGAGGGAGCTGGTAATGCGACAGGACATGACTAGGCGCATTGGTAAATGGACATTGTCAGCATACCCAAATAGAAGAAGGCCTTCATATTATCCTTGAGTAACTCGATACTGCGGATACTATCATCAATCACGCCCTCCCATTTTTCCAGCTTCAGTCTTGCGTTTGCCCGGTTCGTGAATAATAACGGATTGGCTGAGTTCTTCTGTATAGCCTGGGAGTAGTGTGCCTCGGCTTGCTCATAGTCGCCATTCTTGAAGCATTTGTTCCCGATGTTTTTCAGCTGTTCTGCAGCATACTCGTTGCCTGCCGGGGGCATAACGAACGAGTTGGGTGTGAGTTAGGCAAGAGAGGGGCTGTTGGTAAAGGCTGAGTAGGTAGTAGGCGTGCGGAGGAGACGTCGGAGTTAGGCTGGTGTGATTGGCAGCACGGATGTTCGCCGGAGGTGGGGCGGCGTTTTGATGCGCGCCATGCTTCCTATGGAAACTTCGAGATGTGCGCGACAACGTGCTGAGGTGAGCACCTCGGATCCTTCGGAACCTCTCTCAAACAACCAGCCTTGCGTAGGAGTGAATCGGATTGATGGCCACGATCAGCGACTGTCAGATCGTCCGTTGGAGGGGCAGGTGGCAGGTGGCTGTGGTTTGCATCACCAATGTGCCATACCGGTACCGGTACCGGCACAAAAAGCGCTACCCATACTCACCAGGGCAGTAAAGAGTCTATTTGGCATGTACAAACACAAACTGGAGTCTGAAAACAGGGCAAATTATCTACTAGTGGCTTCTGAAGCGAAGTACTTAGGTATACCACCAGAACCTCCTGGGAAGATGCTAATCCATAGCATATAACAACCTGGCCACTGGACAAAGTCCTAACGTGAACATGCTTCCACTTAGAGACATCGCGGTGCGGACACTTTGTCTTGAGCCGCGACTGTTTCATAATCTGCAAAGACCGCGCACTGTTTTCCGTTTTGAGAGTCATTCCTCTCAGCTTTGTAGAGGTTCGGGTAGCTCCGCTGGCGTCGGATCACATCATCGTCCTCTGGACCATCGACTCGATGGCGACTCCGAGGTTGACTCCTCTTCCTCATCTTCTTCCTATCCTCCTCACTCTCGATACCGAGAGCCTCAATTTCAGAAATGGGACTCTTCGTCTGACGTCTGCTTCCACTCCTGTTCCTCGCCCGGCCTCGAAAGGTGTGATCAGGCTCCGCGTCGCTTCGACGGCGACTCTTCTTTTGCTCCGTTGTGGGTGGAGAGATGGAAGACAGAGGGGATGAAGGACGACGATGCTTGCGATGATGCCGTCAGTAGCGATACCCACTTTTGCTATCATGGCCTCTCCAAGGTGAAGATGCTCGACGTGTTGAGTGAGAAGACATGCGTCGTCGCTTCAAGCGACCACGTTCTTCCAAGGCTAGCTCAGGCTCGACAATGGGTGTAGCAGGCAAGTCTGTAGCATCTAGGCATACATGCATCCCAGGTGAACTGGACAAAGCGAGTGCCGACATGGTGTACAGTACGACTGTATGAAGCACGACAGCTCAACTGTGGCTGTGGAGAGCTGGCGAAATCACAGAATGCGGTTCCGCACGCATTCGATACACGGTGAATGAGGGGAACATTGGCCGTGTACGTGTGCAGCGGTTTGGGAAGAGTGATGGTCTGGGCCTGCACGTGAGCAGTTCTTACCCAAGTGGCAGGTGCAGCAGGGCATGGTTCTAACAGGTTCCAACAGTACGGTGCCTAGGCTAGACGTCATTGGTCTAAGCGTTTTGCTACTAGCTCACTCATATGAACAGTCGCTACCATGATTCATTCCTCCTCATGGCCCACCAAATGAACCACTCTACTACATGATTGTACAGAGATTTGAATTTGTGTGCTAGATTTTTAGCCTTTGCTGTATCGTGCTTTGTTCTATACGTTTTGGTGAAGCTCGGCTTTGCGATCTGGTGATCGACATTCACCCAACGACCTGAGAGGTACTTTGCCAATGACAGATGACTACACATGACCTTTCGACCGACTGCTGATTGTTTATTTGGTAGACGCAGTCGATTCTGTGGTAGCAGGTAAGAGTTGTGCAGACGGGTCTGTCACAAGGCTAGACGACAAGGACTCATCAGAATTGAACACGAGCATACCATGTCATAGAATAGGTTTACCGTTTATCAAGAGGTTGCTACAGCAGTTCATGACTTTCTTAAATACTCGAGTCTTTTCTAAGCCTAATAATCATAACATAATCAATTTACATGCCGTGTTGAGCTTACAAGTTCAAACTTCAGAAAATTAAGTCTACGACCCCAGCCAGCTCAGTGCTCGTCACGCCCTACCCAAGCTACTTATATCTTCTACCAAATTTTTCTCAGTATGTGTTGGATTGCAAGCTCTGTTTGGTTTTGATGCGGGGCATTATGCAGGTGCACAATAGTATTTGCGTTTCCGGAGATCGACATACACCTATGTGAGCGACATAAATCTTCAACAAAAGAATTTTTGCAGCACGAAATTTCATTTTAAGAAGAATTTTTCGAACTTGACGGTTACAATTTATGTTAATCTGTCCTAGATATACTACAGCATCCTCCACTCGATTCTCAATCCATCATACTGAGAATCATTCCCAAGTGAACTTGAGTTTCCTGCACAATCATACTATGTGCATGCTGAAGATGGCGTCTTTAGCATCTAAAGCTACTGAGTTGATCATTGAAAGTGCCGGTGTGAAGATCCGGCATATCATATGTGATGGATGTATTCTCTGAGTTGGGGTCACAAAGGACGTCGCTGTCTTCACTTAGTACGATAATTAGACAGAATACAATTTCGAAATACATACGTGTAGAATTGACAGTCGTAATTGAACATGCGCAACGAGGAGATACCGTCACCGAAAGGGAGATTTTCTGTGTACAAGATTAGTGACGATGAAAAGCCGAAGGAGGTCATGCGTAATGTTACATACTACATTCACCGCTTTTGAACTCAACATCGGTGCAGTGGCCAGTATAGTTCTTTCCAGTGCAGACATAAATCTTGCCAGCATTCACTGAGCTTGCCAGAAGGGCAACATTCATGAGAAGAGCAGACAACTTATACATGTTGAAGGACTCAAGAATATGAACGGTTTTCGTAGGTGTTATAGAAGAAGAGTAGATATGAGGAAGTGATAGTGATTGTTGATGATGGTCCTGAAAGACTGATGGCCGAGGGTCTTTTATACATGTACGTCTGCTAAAAACAGCAACTCCAATGAGCCCTACTTGATATCGAGCTCATAGGAACCGAGTCAGTGTGAGTTTGCAACGGACATCAACCTGCGGATAATAGACTGCTTGACTAGGAGAGCCCTCATTTCGCTATGCTTTGTCGCCGAGTTTGGCCTAATTTCAGCTTGACTTTCCATTTTGCGAAGGTATTGAACACGAGACAACATGCTAATACGAGAGAGCACTTCAGACCACAGAGGATAGTACGCATACAACCAATAGAAGGGATCAAAACTGCCACGACCTTGCTTAGAGCTCCATTGCTTAGCACTGAACGGGAACCCTCTCCCTAGTTCACGGAGTGACTTAGTACAAGTATAGTATATTCCGTAGTCTTCCACAGTCTAGTACTCTGAATCGAAGAAGAGATATACAAGGGGCCGCGGAGGGACATGAACGAACTGCTAGTGTGAGAGGGTGGGGCACTGAATACCTGTTAGTCTTTTACAAGACGAGAAAACGCGAGGATTGTCACGAAGGAATCTTGTATCATGCATAGCGTTCAAATTGCAGCATTAATGTCGGTACAGAGATCTTGCAGGAAACTGCTCAAAGGAAGATACTCCTGTTATCCATCAGGCATTTCAAGTGCATTGATCTCCCGGCACACAGTGATTTGCCACTGCTACATCCTGGCTATTTTCATGGCACAAGGCAAGTAACGTGATCCTCAAACTAGCCGAGATAACTAGTATGACTGAGTTCCTTCTCTGCACGACGTATGGCACGGTCCTGTTCCCAGTATTACGAGGTACAAAATACATGGCAAGACTTCGATGACGTCCATGGGGACCAACAGTGCATGACTATGACCCAATATCCCCCACAGGCCTCTTGATATCGTCATCAGAGTCCTTAGAGTTTGGCGAGTTAATAAAGCTGCTTCTGATATGGCAGGTTTCCGAAACTTTAATCAAAATGGCCGTGCCACATGTCAAGACAACGCTCTGCCATTTCATTGATGATCGGATGCTGTACTGATCGTTCCGAGGCTATTGGATGTACAGTAAATGCTATCGGCGGTACTTTGTCACCACAGAAAATCAACGAAAGGCACATTAGCTTGCGTTTCAACGTGTTTCCCTGTGATCCGGATCAACGCTGCAGGTGCAGTCCTCGTTTTGGTTCCTGATAGGTCAGTGCGCCAGCATTTTCCGATGTTACATGGATTTAGTCGGAAACCATAGTGACGCAACCTAACGTGCCTCATACCGGTATAGTGTAGCCGCCTTCCCCACTTCCACGCGCTTCTAACACTGCCACTTTCGTGCGGGTCTAGAACCTCACCCTGTTCGGGTGGCTGACGTGGCTTTTAGTTTCTTTGGCAGCTGAGTAGCTCGATTGCTGTCCGGAGGCGGCATTACGACCTATTTGGGAAACGAAGCTTTATTTAGTACTGTTTTGAAGCCTGTCATCTTCCCCCATCCTCGAATGCTCAAACAATGGAGATTATCTGGCAACACAGACTCACTAATCCCGTATGAACGGGCTTGCTAGTGTCAAAATTTCTATTTGTAGTCTTGTAAAGAATGTCAAGATTATTAGTACCACTGCTGAAAAGTAGCAGTCTGTGCATTCTCTGGTTTTGTACCTACAGAGGAAGTAAATCGTAAGACATCCGATTTCGCGCTAATGTAACAGCAAATTACCCGTGCCGCAACTCTATTCTGACCAAAGGATACAATTTGCGCCTCCGTACGATTCCGCAAGACTCCCCCACGAACGGACTGCTAGCGTTAAAGGGTGGCACTGATTACATGGTGGTCCTTTACAAGACTAGACAGTCCGACGCTAGCAGTGTAGTCATGTTCGGGTCTTGTAATAGGCAAGTAGTTTCGTGTTCGATGGTCGAAGGTGCCTTCGTATCTACCGTACATAATCGCGTTCTATAATGATTAGTATAGGACTGCACTTTCGTGATCCGGAGTCAACTTTGACTCAGTGCACAGCACACAGACACAATGAATTAGACGGTTGCGCACTGAATGGTTATGATACACTAATGAGAATGCTCTTCTGAGAATGTGAACGGCGTCTTTCTCTGACAGCATACAGGCTATTCCAGTGCCGATGCACAAGTAAATTTCTTGTTCACAACAATTGAGAAACGAATGCAATAAGATCATCGGATGAGCGGATGACGATAGAGAAAGAAGCATTAAGAAATTCTGGGCATGCCGATCGTCTCATAAATTGATATATACCAGGATGCTATATGTCGGAATACAGGGACTTCGTTCCCCGTACTCACCTTCATATGACCCACGGGCCACAGCCTAGTTCTTTTGAGAAAAGCTGGTAGACATGCCTACAAATTCATCACAAAAGTAGCATGTGAAAATTTGACACTATCGATGTGCTGCTTGTCAGGGTGTGATGTTACATGGGTCTGAACTCTATATTTCGATACGATGCTGAATTTTCTCATTACCACCGACGCTAAGAAGGCGTTCTACATTCGGAGGAATTTGAGCCTCGTAGGTGACAAGCTCTCTCCGAATAGCTAGGCTAGAACCTTAAAAATTAGCCCACTCCATTTGGGTAGGTATGCCAGGCAACCATCGCATTAACTAAAAGCTTAGCATAAGAGCTATGGTATAGCCAAACGAGGTATCTTTATAAAAGCAGGATCCTGATTAGGCTATCACTTCGATCGATGAAATGATGATCGACATAAAAGTGATTTCTCCGCGAGCAGCGACTCTTGTCCGAGTACCGGTCACTCTATCCTCAACAGGGACTCCACGTATCAGGTGTTTGGAACGCTCATGTGACTCAACAATTTCTATTGTTAAAAGCGTCACTGTAAATGCGCGCGTTCCTTTCTTCGAATTCTCACACTAGCTGTACAGACGTCTACGCCATGGCTGTCAGATTATGGGCTGACCGAGAACGTGCATCGGCGGAATTCAAAGCACCGGAGGCTCAGAGCACCATCGGAGTGTTTGAAGCTTTGCTGGGAGCTGGTTTGGACCCAAAAGAAGCTGCTCGTAAAATTGTCCATATTTACGAACCCATCATACGAGCTGGAGGCAACGATTCGCGCATCGGAGAAATATGGGGCATCCTTTGCAGTGCAGTACGAACACTTGGTGACAGTAATGAGCTCAACGACAGGTTGGTACAGCTCATTGTAGCAATGAAGGACCTTCCCGCCCTCAAAGACGAGAATGGTCACGCTATCAAGCATGAGTGGGGTGGAAGGTATTGGATGGATTTACCAATGTGGGGTTTGACGTTCAGAGAATACGGAATTTGTGAGTCAAAACGTTTTTATCACATCTTTCAATTGGCTTGGCCCTGACTCGAAAATGAAAGTTCTCGAACCGGATGAGGATCTCGGAGAAGAGGAATGGCTCTCTCAAGCCACACCATTCCTGAATGCTACCTCGTTTGCTGCCAAACTGCTCAGCCAAGTCCCGGAAATGAAAGACATTTCATTCCATGCTGAGGTCTGCCTCAACGAAGCCTTGGAAGGTCCATACGAAACTCCCAGCCCCCAAGCTCGTGCATCCATGTATATAGCACCTGCTGCAACTTGGATTTTGCTTGCTGGTGAGAAGATATATGAGCTCTGTAAAGAGAACTACAAAAGAATTGATGGCGGCGTCAATAGAGATGGTTTTCTTTGGACGGGTACTGGTTTCAGCCTTCCACGGTGGAAATTCTGGAAGCAGAGGCTGTCCGAGATTTCTCAGGATACAACATTGGAGGAAACTTTGAGAACCCAAGCAAGAAACGCATCGACCGAGATGGAACGATTTGAAGTGTAGCTTGCCTCAAGATTGCTTTGTTGAGCTTTGTATCTATGCCCGAAAGCCTTGAGCTGTTTCATGTATACGCAGTTAGCATTATAGCATATCGCATGTTAATGTTGAAGTGACGTGATTTACTGAGACTACAATCTGCACAGACACTAGAAATAGACTGTGCGCCCAAATCTTGGTTCACATGCTGTCATCTCAAGCTATTATATGGTTGCTGACATAGTTGAAACGTGCACGAGTGAAGATCAGAAGCTCATGAGATGATGATCAAGTTGGTCCCAAATAAAACATTGTAGCGACGATCCACTACCACAATACGGAGCCTTCGGATCAGAATCTTGCATGATAGCTTGAATGAGAAGGGCCGGTTATTGAAGCAGGACGAAGTGCTCCCAGGGAAGGAGAGACGAGGCATGAAGACACCGTACATGGTGCAGTATCCGAGGATGAGGAGGGCCCAAATGCAGTGTGTAATGTGATCATATTGTTCTAGTCTAGGAGGACCTTTACTGCGTCTGAGCTTCTGGTGGTACATATGTTGAATATAAAAGGAAGGGGAACGTCCTCGACAGAATCCTCAGTCACTCGACAATCAAGTTCGAATAACCAGCCCTTCACTGTCTCAATTTCACAACTTCGCTATATACAGTTACCTGACACCCATCAAAATGCAATTCATCACTGCTCTCCAATTTCTTGCAGCTCTGACTGCGGTCAGCGCTGCCCCTTCTGCTCCACATAGTGAGGTCTCAAACGAACTCTCAAAGAGGGCTGACATCTTTGATATGGACTGTGGAGGTAAGTATCTTCTCAGGACATTCAATTCAAGAATTGGAATCCTGACATACTATGTCTCTGAACATTGCATATTGCGATTTCTAACGGTACACACTAGGTGAGACCTTCGACATCCAGGACATCAGGTCAACCTTTAACCAATTTGTATCGGTTGCAAACTTACCCAACAACCAAAAACGTAAGCCATGGTGAAAGATAGTCTTGACTGTATACTTGGAGACTAATCCACACGCACAGCGGCAGCCGGAACTCGAGTGTACCCCCAGCAGTATGGCAACAACAAGGGCATTCCTAGTGACCCAGAAGTTGTTGCTGCTCTGGACGCTATTCCAGGTTGTAAAACTGGGCAGTCCGGTTTCAAGTATTTCGAATATCCCCTTGCCAACCCTGTTTGGACCGGAGGTCCTCAAACCAGTCAGGGCCCGCACCGCATCATTTCCATTGCCCAGAATGTTGGTCCGGGTGGCTCCAGGACTTATACTTACTGCACCGCCATCACTCACCGAGGGGGCAATGGTATGGGTGACGGCAGCTTCCGGGCTTGCAAACAGGTGTAGGCAGAGCGAAGTATTGGACTTGCGACTGTGATTGCACGTCATGTACATATGTATGAAGGCAAAACCAGGAAATTCGCAGTTTTTGTCCTTAACTCATGTAACAGTTCGCATAGTCATAGCTGGAGCGCACTGTTTAACTATGGTATTCACTTCTCACTACATGGCATTACATTGCAGGTGCTTCACAAACGTGGCTGTTTTAGACAATTGAGTCATTACCAAGTCACGCATTAAACACAGAATTGGCATTGTTTGCGTACTTCGTAGTCATCTGTAAAAGCAAAGCTGCCAGGTTTAGTAAAACATCTTGATCGTAGCCATATCTCATGTCTACCAGGATTTATGCAACTTTTTGCAGCGTCTTGCATTGAGTTTACATTGAATAAAGATAGTTCGGGTTGGATAGCTGCGTCACGTGCATGCCACAGGTAATTCACCGAATACGAACAGAACCAACGCTCCCTCTGTTATTTCTATATCCATAGTGCTTACCTTGTATCAGCCATGGTGCTTACCCTGGTGAGGTGGTGACTGCCTACCACCATTGGCGACTCCCCCATCCCGGGTTGTCTGGGAGACACCCATTTGGGACTAGTAGGGATATCTATATCTAGCCACCTTAGCTTCTTGTCTATAGATTCTTAAATTAATACTTTTATTATATTAGGTTATAAGCCTAGCTTATCTACTAGTATACTTAGCTTTATTTACTAGTACCTACTTCTATTATATTATAAGCTAAATATTCACTACTATTATAGCTTTGTACCTAAACCTATTTAGCTTATTACTAACCTACTCTAGCTCTTCTAGAATAGCTTCCCTAGAAGTTATAGCTGCACTATATCTAGAGCTCCCCTAGACTACTCCTCTCCTAGTTTCTACACTATTATTACCTACTATAGTATCTATAAAACCTACCTTTAACTTTTACCTAGATCCTTCTTTATTACCTAAATTAGGTTCCTATAGTAAGAACTACCTAGAATAGTAGTCTATATAGACTATCGCGTTCTAATATATAGGTATCTAGCCTATCCTTTTAGGGAAGAAGCTATACCTAATTTTAAACCTTAATATAGATAAATAGGACAAGGGTAATAATAAAGCTCTTATTATACTTCTTTTATTAGTGTATAATAACCTTACTATAAGCGTAGCCTCTTATAATACTTCCCTAGAAGCCTAGAAGTATCTTATAAATAGGTTTAATAGGGATATAGGTAATACCTTAATCTTACTATTTTAGTTACTAATAAACCTTTGCTACTATAATAGAGATAACCTAAGAATCTACCTTAATAAATTTTATTAGAGATAGACATGTATATCTAAACGCTATATAATATTTATATAACCTATAGCTATAGTAATACGTGCTATATTTAACTCTAACTAGGTTAAGGGTTCCTTCTTCCTAGCTATATTACCTAAAACTATAGATAATATTATTAATAATCTATCTACTAGGAATATTACTACCTTCTAAGATATTAAACCTAAGATCCTTAATATCTTAGAAAAGCACTCCTTAGATACTATAGATTCCTCTACTACTTATATAGCAAGATAGACAGCTTCTAGAAAACCTATATCTACTAAACTACTAAATAGTATTCTAGAATATATATAGTATTATAAGTATAACCTACTATTTATTAGCTACCTCTACCCTACTTACTATACTCTTAAAAATTATAAGGAGAGTTAAGCAAAGGGGGACGCACCTATAAATTCTAAGAAGTAGAAGGTAAATAATGCCGCTGCTATTAAACCCCCTAGTAAAGCTAAAGAATCTAATAGCTCTATTATAGTTATTAGTTACTCTACCTATACCTATATAGACCTAATAGCTTTACTACTACTATTATACCTACTACTAAATTTAAATAGTAAACACTTAAGACTAGTAAGTATATACGCTGCTATACGCTAACCTATAGTAGTTAACCTACTATAATAGCTCTTTAATACTAGTGCCTCTAAGTATATATCTAGCTACGCTAATAACTTTATATCCTTAACTAAGAAGTTAGGCACTATTACTATAGCTAGTAGTATTAAGCTCCCTATTTAAGGAAGTAGCACTATTTAACTTTACTATATTTTACTAGATAGCTTAACTACTATTATAGAACTAATAGACACTATCTACAGCGCTAAACTATATAGTACCTAATTATTCTTATAGTCTTATATCTAATATAAAGGATTTAAGCTCTTTAGTAAATATAATAACCTATTCCTCTTTAGAAATAGCTACTATATATTATAGGCATAATATATTAATAGTATTATATAAATCTAAACTAAACACCTATCCTTACCTTCTATATTTACGCTTACAAGCTTATACCTACTAATTAACTAAATAATAATAGCTTCTTAGCAAGCATTAACCCTCCTTATAATAGTAAAGGCAATAGTAGTAGTAATAAAGGCAAAGGATATATATAATAGTTTTAAGACATACTAATAATTTTATAAAGTAATAGGATACTTATCTATACTAAACCTAACACGTATTTATATAAATAGGTATTTAGTACTAGTAAAACTAGATAATTTTAAATACACTATATATTAATAATTAAAATCTATGCACTATATCCTAATATTAGGATTACTAAGGCATACCTAACCTCTTAAACTTATTTACTTAGACCTCTCTAGAAAGATGCCTATAAGAAGTATTAGTAGTGCCTAGTACTATATCTTATTTATTAATAATGCTATATAGTATTTATAGATTTAGTTTCTTAAACTTAAGGCTAATATACTATAGGCTATTAAGGATTTTATCGCCTATACTAATACCTAATTTAAAACTAAGAGAGCTCCTATAGGCCTAAATATCCTTACATATTCTATTATTAAGATATTTAAATCTAATAATAGTAGAGAATATATTAGCTATAATCTCTAAAAGTTCTTTATAGTAAATAGTATTACTTATAAACTAGTGCTACTATACTATTATAAGATAAATAGTATACTAGAATAGTTTAACTAAACCCTATTTTAGATTATATAATATATAATCTCTTCTAATAATATACTTTTCCTCTAGGTAGAAGCTATAAAGTTAGTAAACTTCCTTAAAAACATAGCGCTATATTTTACTAACCCTCTGCGTCGCATACTATATAAATAGCTCTTTAGGAAGAAGCTATCTATTTAATAACTCTAGCCCTTTAGCATACTAGGACATGTTTATATTCCTATAGAAGCTAGAAAGGTAGGCACTAAACTCCTATACTACTTAGAATAAGGTATATTTATTAGCTATAGCTATAGTACCTAGATAAGTTGTCTTTATATACTATAATAATATATTATTATTTAATCCTAAGATGTTATATTTACTACACCTATTCTATAAATTTTTAGGCCTATTTAGGACTATAGAATAAATCTTATACTATAATATCCTATAAATAACTAAAATATTAACGTATAGAGACCTAGGGAATTAGTTACTACTCTCCTACCTATTAAAGTTTATAATAATACTAAGCTAGGGGATATTAGTAACCTTCCCTCTACCCTATAAACTCCTACCCTTAAGAGTAGAGCTACAAGTCTACTATAGAATTTTCTTAGTAGTCCTAACTACCTCTCTAACTATCTACTAACTATAATAGTATAGGATATGCTATCTCTAGAATCCCTAAGCTTACAAACTTCTAACCTATTATATAAGAGGTTATAAACCTCTAAATTATCTATATCCTTATAAGGAGCTATTACCTATATTAGGTAATAGATAAGAATACCTAAGTAATACTAAGGTATATATATATTAGCATAACCCTTCTTAACTATATATAAGGAGGATACGCTTATATATACCTATCTATTCTTAATAACCTTCTCTACTATAGTAATATTAATAGACACTCTATAGATATATATAGAAGCTACTAGCAATGCCTATACTTCCTTATAGCGCCCTACTATAGAGAAGGAGATTGCTAATTATGCTAATAATAGAACCTAGAAAGTAGTACCCTAATATAAGATACCTTTAGGGATAAAGCTTATAGGCACCTACTAGGTTTTTAATACTAAGTAAGATAAATCTAGTAATATAGTTAAGAGGAAAGCATAGCTTATTATATAGGGATTTTCTTAATACTATAGTTTTAACTATAATAATATATACTCCCTAGTTATTAGGTATAATAGTCTACGTATACTTCTAGTCCTTACTACTATAAATAGATAGTATATATAATAAGTAGATTTTAACGCTATATACCTAAATAGACACCTTAAGTATAAGATATACTACTAACCACTACTAGGAATAGCCTATAATAGCTCTATATTTCTACTACTTAAGACACTCTATAGACTTAAATAATTAGGGCGCGAATAGTATACTATCCTATTAGACTAGCTAAAGACCTAGTATTTTATCTAAGTAGATTTTAACCCCTATATCTTTATATTAAAGTATCTAGTTCTTAGAATCTATATAGATAATATCCTAATAGTAGGTATATAATATTAGATTACTTACATGCTTAAACTTACAAAGACTCGCTTTTAATTTTAAGATCTAGGATATCCTAGAATACTCCTTAGTCTAGAAATTAAGCACCTTAACTACTATATTAAACTCTACTAATGCACTTATATTACTATAGTACTTTAATAATATAGAATAATAGACTATAATAGATAGTAAACACCTATTAACCCTAGTTTATTCCTACCTTAGACCCCTACTAAAGTACCTGTTAACCTTAAATAATAGAAGAAATTCTAATCTATTATTAGCTTACTTAACTTTATAGTAGTAGTGTGAAGGGCTTAGGCTTATGCCTAAGCCTAGGTCTAACACAAGACAGACTAAGTCTAACACCACTACTAAGCGAACACACTAGACACCTATAAAAAGGCGTAGAGGGCTTATCTCTCCTTTAAGATACTAAATACTATTATTAACACTTATTGTATTCTCCCTTAAGGCTAGTCTATAATATTTTAGTATC